ATTGTCATTGTCATTGTCATTGTCATTGTCATTGTCATTGTCATTGTCATTGTCAATATCATTTTTATTGTCATTGTCATAGTCATAACCATAAACAATAATAGTCATGGTTATAGTCAAAGTCATAGTCATAGTCTCAGTCATAGTCATAGTCATAGCCATAATCATAGTCATAGTCTCAGTCATAGTCATAGTCATAGCCATAATCATAGTCATTGCCATTGTCACATGTGTAAACTAACCAAAGCAGATAGCAATTGTAGTTATACTAGAATTTTCAATATTTTTTTATTTAATTATTTTTTTTGATACACTCATGGTATCCCTGATTAGAGCTAAGAACAATGGACAAAATTCTGCGTAACTAAAGAAAAACTATGACAAATTAAAAATTTCAAAAATAAACTCAATCAGGCAACCAATCGCACTAGTAGTGATACACCGGGACAAAACTGAATTCAATTGAATTGATGTGAACATCATCTGTACCAGAACGTTAGCCTGGCTAGATAGTCTTGCAGAGTGCAACGGAAATTTCATTTTGTAAATCCAGTATTTAGCCAAGTGTTGCCCCTCTCATTGTACGTTAAGTTTGGGCATTAGGATGTCGCAGTTTCGGCTGCAGCCGCCTCCTCGTTGACTTTCAAAATGTCCTTTTCGATGGTCATCTTGAGCTTCTGTAGATCTATGTCCAAATAAATTTTGCGCTCGTACTTGCTGGCCAGTTTATCGATGGTGCTGGTCAAATGCTTCTTGAATATCTCCAGCACTTCGCTGTCATTGGGACCGATCGTCATGTGGCCATTCAAGCAGCGCTGGAACTCCTCTTCGGCCAGTGCTTCGGCGAGCTTATCCTCAATGGAGTCTTGCTGCTTGCGAATCAGCTCGATGTCAGTCTCCAGCTGGTTCTTCTCGAGGTGGAGTGCCTCAAAGTTGTACATTTTCATTTTCAGCTCTTGGGTTAGGATAACGCCGGGGTTCAACTGACGGGCAAAAAAACGTGACTGAGGGTACATTTCAGGCTCGTGAAGAGGGCTGCCTCTTCACAGAATCGATATTGAGTATTAAGAATGGAATTTTGGTGTGAATTTCTATTGGATTGATTCCAATATAAACAATTAGTTCAACTTGATATGCTCTAACTGCAAAAGCCTGCCTGATAGTATATATTTATTTATATGTACATATAGGTGTATTATTTTGTATATCTATGTATTTGCTGCGGAGCCTGAAGCTTAAATCTTCATTAACGTTTCGCACTGCGAGTTCGCATGAAATTAAGGCCACAGCAATCTCATTTCCGGGTATTTTTCGCGTAAAACTCACACGCTCGCACACAATCAAGAGAAATGGGAGCGAGAGGCTGTGTGCGAAAGAGATGTTGCAAATTAAATTGCGTATACGCACAGTTGCCACTGTGGTAGCTGCGGCTACATCAATGCGCGTTCTGTTGACTCTATCGTTAAGTGCATAAATTGAATAATGCGTCGCGGCAGCAGTAGGAGCAGCAGCAGCAGCAGCAGCAGCAGCAGCATCTGCAGCAGTGTCAATTCAGTCACCGATAGAGTTACCAGATCGCCATGTTTGCGCTTTAAATTTATTGAATTTCCTCTTTGGCGGAAAAAGCGAGCCACATAAACCATTATTTTATTACTTTATCTATCGATGCGACCCGCGTGGCAGCTACAACTGACCGCAAATTTACCAAAAACTCGTTAGCTCTTTAGTTGCCATAAACTGAACTATTTTATGCACATACATATATATTTATATTCATATAAGTTTACGTATATTCACTCTCTAAACTCGTATTTGCCTCAGTGTTTTGCTGCTGTGTTTTTGTGCAGAGTCGTTTGTCTTTTGGCCAGAGCATTCAATCAAAGTTATTTGAATGCAGTCTAGCGAAATGCAAATGAAATGCATTTAACAAGTTGTTGCAACTTCTTGCAACTAGCAGCAGCTTAGCGCACAACTTAATTTACATTTATATCCACAGATCTGGCTGGCGGCAAGACCAAATAAAGCCAAGCTAAAACTTTTATTGACATTGCCCAGGACCAGCAGCACCACAAAAGGGAGGAACAAAAGGAGCGTACGCTTCGTATACTTTATTTATTTGTTCTTACTTACTTTGTTTTGGGTTAAGCATTAATGCCCAGAAGATTCGACTCTCTATAGCGCTGTACGCACTTGCCAGACAGAATTGCTTGCATTTTACATATTGCATGAACACTTAAATTAATTAAATCACATTGACCAGAAGCTTAGCCAGACGAATTTAGCTTTAATTGTGGACGTTACTTTGATTGAACAACTGACTGACTGACTGAGTGAGTAAGTGAGTGAGTGAGTGAGTCCGTGAGTGAGCCTGAGTGATTGGCTAGTCAGCAGTTTGAACTCAAACATTTACCACTCGGCTGCATAAACAGACAGCTGCAATTGCCAACTGTTTTGACTGTCCTTTAAAAATGGACAATCGGTCAGGGGCAAGGCATGGAGGCATATTAAATGAAGTACATTTAATACAGTTTCCTTTTGTTCATTGACTTGAAAGTCACGCACTTTATTTGAAATGCATAAATATAAACGCTTTCTTTGCTTCGACAACTTCAGTCTGATTGTCTCTGTATTGAATCACTGCACAATTTGGACTGTCTCGCACAATCAAAGCCAACGTCTTTGATTTACATTTAGAAA